TATTGTATCAATCACGAAGTCACGTGATGATGAAAAATATAAGGAATTGCGCGGGGAAGGCAGTCGGACAAAGGGACGGAGTCGGAGTGAGAGTTGAACGAAGGAGTTAGGAGTGAAACAGTGGAGAGCGAGAGCGCGCGTGAGAGTGAGAGAGAGAGGGTGAGTAACAGCACAAGCACTTGGAACGTCTGAATAAAAAAAAGAGGTAAATAAACACGAAATGTATTTACTATACCAAAGTCTTAATGTTTCTCTATTCTATTTCGCCTATAATCACATGTAAATGCCGGTCAAATGCTCATCTGCAACACGCAAGTACACCGCACGCTAGCTGCTGCACACTGACACATAAATATATAGCTATATATATAAATATAAATATATAGCTGTAAACTATATAGCTCTTGTACTGCAGATGACTGTATGAGCCCCAATGAAATTATATATATAGCTATATATATAATATAGCTATATAGCTGTAAACTATATAGCTCTTGTACTGCAGATGACTGTATGAGCCCCAATGAAATTATATACTATACTGTATGTTATATTGCAAAACGTGCATTATGAGATATTAGCTTACATGCCACTTTACGTAGTCATCTGAGCTACGAAGGATTCAGTCTCCAATGTATAGATAGCTAGGCTGTAACACCTTGGGTAAATTCACTCCACTATCCTTCTTCAACTATCATATGCTCCCACACACATTTACCTTTGCTGTTAAACAACAAAAATCCCATATATCTATGCTTACTCACTCCAACCATAAACGGCTAAATTAATATGCAAATTGCTTTACGTAGTATGAGTAGTAACATGCACCTATGTGTATAATGAATTTCAATATACACAGGCTGAGCAATGTTGTCAATACTGAGCAATGGCTAAATCAGTGTTGCACCTGGGCAACCAGTCCCCTAGTCCAGGACTGGTAACCTTTCAGCAGGACTGGATCGTTTTGATTGATTTTACTATAAGTTATATAGTAGAAATAACAATTCTCGATATCAGGCTGGGTTTGCAGACTTATTTCCAAGACTTCGTAAATTTACTCAATTATTAATAACTGGTTTCACGAACACGAACCAAGCTATCCCCAGATTATAACTGTGATTAATGTGATATCAAGTTAACAGACCACATATCATTATGATGAAATGCTTTAACATCATAAAATCTGTGTTACCACAATTATTATATCACATACTAAAGCTCATAGGGTCTATGTCCCCCAGGATACTGCCGGAATGTACCCTTGGTACGGTCCGGTATACCGGAACGTACGCTGGTAACTATCTGATATGGTTAGGGTTAGGATTAGGATTAGGATTAGGA